GTTGCATGTCACTTACAGGGTTTGTCCGCAAAGTAATAGGACTGAGTCGATTTAAACAAATGTATTGAGCCAATCGTTACAATTCTTTAAACACTTTCAAATTAGGCTCCTTCTGCGTCGATGCAGCGCTGCCAGCGCCCAAAATGCTTGCCTTTCATAAGCCTTTTCAGGCGAGGAAACAAAAAAAAGTGTTGGGATGCCGGCCTTGGTCAGGTAGCTGTTCACAAGAAAGGCGGTGTGAACCGAGGCGTTGTCGTGGTGCAGCTTCCAGTCGGCTGCGGTGTCTTGTCGGACCCGACTGACCCTTCGTTTGAGTCTCCTGAGCACTTCCACGTTTTGAAGTCAAAAAAGACAATGAGCATCGTTTTCACTTTGGATTTGCTCATTCTTCCCTTTTTTGGGCGAGGAGACGCCGTCGTGTGCCACTCGGAAGATTGCCACTTTGTCTCGGGATCATACTCAAACATCCACGACTCGTCACCTGTGATTACGTTATTCAAAAATTGGGGGTCACTTTCACACATGTTCAAATTTTCTTGGCACACTTCCAGTCGCCGCAATTTCTGATCGTCAGTGAGCACTTTTGGGACCATCTTCGCGCACACCGTGCGCATGGTCAAATGCTGTGTGACAATGTCATCGACCACAGATTTTGGTAAATTTAACCTCTGGGCAATTAAACGAATACTTATTATCGGTGTTTGTCGAAGTCGAAGGTCTTCCAGGCCTGGTGCCACCGAAACACACCACTTCTTGCTCAAGCAAAAGTCATGGCGGAAGGACATGAGTCCTATTACTTTCCGGACAATCCCTGTATAGTCAAACTATTTGCTGCTATTTTGATACCTACTACACCATGCAAATTGTTTTGTCATAATACCTTACAAGAAATATAGTGGAATCGTGTCTTTTTAGATTTTACTTAACAATAGCGGTTCACAATCATGGACCTACCGTGAAAAAAAGAGCAACGTACGTTGGACAAATTATGGAGTATGGAGGCGATCCAGGTTCAAAGAAAGCCATAGAAGTATCCATTGAGGACTCCGAATGATAATTGATCTTTTTATTTGGATATACTGATGCTGATAAATCTTTTTACTACAAAAGTTACATAGTGGGTTGCATTATTTGAAATAATAAAAATGTTTTCAGGATATATCGTTTTTTATTTATAATCAATGACAACATTTGTTTAATGGTGTCCCCATTTCCTCCGTTAACGTTCATAAATTCATTTATTTGTATCTTATATGTCCTGAATAGTTATCATTAAAATAACATTATTTACTAAATTTTCTTCTCAAAGTTGTCGTTTTACAATAAAAAAATGTTTTTGTTCGTCATCAGCAGTAATTAAGCAATGGAGTCTTGCATTGACTTGACTGCGCTTTCTGTTGTATCTTCAACTGCTCTTTGTTTGCATTTGCATCTTATTCTTAGCTTGTTGAAAAGAATCATTATGTAGCCATGAAGATGAACACTGAACATCAATTTCGTATCGACTGAACAAGGACTTGCTTTTGATTAAAACAAAGTCATCGATATCTTTCTTTGAAATGAAAAAACGAAGAATAGCTGCCATCTAAATATACTGGTCCGACCACAGGCAGTCCACCATGGACAGATGTTTTGTGCTTTTTAACAACTCATCAGCAACGTCTAGGCTTGGCCTCAGGTCAGGACATCGAAATGAGACAGTATCAGGTTCCATCTATTGCCAGAATTGCAGCTTATGCTGGCTGATTAACAACAAAACTTTACGCTTGATCTTTAGACGGCAATTTTGCAACTGGTTGTTATACAGGGTGTCCCATTAGTCGACGTCAAGCCGAAACCGGGTGATAGGCAAAGTCATAACAGCTAGAAATTTCACACCCTACGGCAGTATGGCAACTCCTGTTATTACAAATTTTAACTTTTTTTGGATTTTATTTTTACAATGTAATGATGAATAATGCATCTTCAAACTGGTGTCTCAACCTTACTGCCAACTTTTCTCGTTCAGGAAAAATTGCCACTTATTTCCCAACCAAGTATTCCAAAGTAAAACTTTGCTCAACTTTAACTGGCTGTACTGGAAAAAATGTATTACGAGAGTTTGGCAAGTAACCTTAAAAGTTGGCGCATTTAATAACGATTCCAAAATGGTATAACACTTAGAAGATTACTCGTTAACTAATGCACAATTTTTATTTGAAGAAAAACTGATGAAAATTTTTCAAAATTTCCTAATTAAACAGCGATTATGAAAACGCACGAGGACCCTTAAGGATAACTGTTTGCACAACAGTGGGCGTCAAAATGCTCAAACTGTTTTCCTTCAGCCGCAATACACGCTCGACATCTTCTTAAAAAAGATCGGGTTATTAAACGAGCGAATCCACGGTTATTAACAAACTCAGCTGCTTCCAATAGTCTTTGCCGTAGCTCAGATACATTTTCAATCGGCTTGAAATACACTTTTTCTTTTACAGTTCCCCAGTAAAAAAATCTAACGGATTCAAATCTGGTGATCGGGCTGGCCACGGTATTGTACCAGACCGCCTTATTCATCTGCCTGGAAAGTTTTGATCTCACTGAGAGTGCAAAGTGCGCTGGGCAGCCATCATGCTGAAACCACATGTCCCTGTAAATACTCAGTGGCACGTCCTCCAATAAATTTTCTGAATGATTTTGCAAAAAACCTAAATAAACCTCAGCAGTCAAAGTCTCTGGGAACTCAAACGGACCGATTATTTTACCATTTAAAATTCCTGTCCAATGGTTTATCTTGAAGCGATATTGAGATTTATCTTCTCTCATCAAATGTGGGTTTGCTACGTGCCACTCGTGTAAGTTATGCAGGTTCATGTACCCATCTTTCTTAAATGTGGTCTCATCTGACCATAAAATTTTTTCAAAGAACCGTGGATCTTCCCTGTGTCTTTCTAACATTGTGCGAAAAGCAACTTGGGGCTCATAATCCCGGGGCAGAAGAGCTTGAACACGCTGTACGTGGTACGGATGGAGCACGTTTTTTTGCAAGATTCTATGGGCTGTACTTTTCGGCACACCTGTTTTTAGTTCTATTGCACGCACTGAAGTACTCGGGTCTTCTTCGACAGCTCCTAGCACCACGTCTTCGTAAGGAAGGAAAGATCTTCCCTCACCGTGTGATTGGTTTGGTAGTTGGCCCTCTGAGAACAGTAAGCGGTGCACATTTGTAAACACTCGATGATCTGCATTCGGGTACCTCTCACAGTAAAGTCTCGCTGCAGCACTAGCGTTGCATCTGCATTCCCCATAAATGAGGTGCATGTTAGCATATTCTTGTACGGTGTACACGGACATAGCGGCACTGCACAATCACACTATCAAAGATAGTCTAAGGAAAGCAAATGTTGTTTTGAAGAGCAATTAAACAGTCCAAATCCAAATCACAAGCGATCAACAGTCCAGTTCACGAATCCAAAATTAGTAACAGTACGAAATCAACAAGCACGAACATGTAAAGATGCGCAGTAAACGAAGGAGTACTGATCGGTATCAAAGTGTGCAATAGCAAGTAAGTGATGTGCTTCATCCATACCACATACAGCGTGTTCAACCTCTCCTGCCCCGGGATTATGAGCCCCGAGTTGCTTTTTGCCGCACAATGTTAGAAAGACACAGGAAAGATCCACAGTTCTTTGAAAAAATTTTATGGTCGGATGAGACCACATTTAAGAAAGATGGGTACATGAACCTGCATAACTAACACGAGTGGCACGTAGCAAACCCACATTTGATGAGAGAAGATAAATCTCAATATCGCTTCAAGATAAACCATTGGACAGGAATTTTAAATGGTAAAATAATCGGTCCGTTTGAGTTCCCAGAGACTTTGACTGCTGAAGTTTATTTGGATTTTTTGAAAAATCATGTACAAAATTTATTGGTGGACGTGCCACTGAGTATTTACAGGGACATGTGGTTTCAGCATGACGGCTGCCCAGCGCACTATGCACTCTTAGTGAGAGAGTATCTCGATCAAAACTTTCCGGGCAGATGGATAAAGCGGTCTGGTACAATACCGTGGCCAGCCCGATCACCAGATTTGAATCCTTTAGATTTTTTTACTGGGGAACTGTAAAAGAAAAAGTGTATTTCAAGCCGATTCAAAATGTAGCTGAGCTACGGCAAAGACTATTGGAAGCAGCTGAGTTTGTTAATAACCGTGGATTCGCTCGTTTAATAACCCGATCTTTTTTAAGAAGATGTCGAGCGTGTATTGCGGCTGAAGGAAAAGTTTGAGCATTTGCTGTAAAGGTAAATCATCATCAGCAGCATTTTGACGCCCACTGTTGTGCAAACAGTTATCCTTAAGGGTCCTTGTGCGTTTTCATAATCGCTGTTTAATTAGGAAATTTTGAAAAATGTTCATCAGTTTTTCTTCAAATAAAATTTGTGCATAAGTTAACGAGTAATCTTCTAAGTGTTATACCATTTTGGAATCGTTATTAAATGCGCCAACTTTTAAGGTTACTTGCCAAACTCTTGTAGTACATTTTTTTCCAGTACAGCCAGTTAAAGTTGAGCAAAGTTTTACTTTGGAATACTTGGTTGGGAAATAAGTGGCAATTTTTCCTGAACGAGAAAAGTTGGCAGTAAGGTTGAGACACCAGTTTAAAGATGCATTATTCATCATTACATTGTAAAAATAAAATCCAAAAAAAGTTAATATTTGTAGTAACAGGAGTTGACAGACTGCCGTAGGGTGTGAAATTTCTATATATTTTTCAAAGACCTATAATTTTCAAAACACATACATAAAAATTTTTTAAATATTTTACTGATAGCTGTTATGTCTTTGCCTATTACCCGGTTTCGGCTTGACGTCGACTTCTGGGACACCCTGTATAAAAAATAAAACTCCCCAAATATAATTTTCAAAGGCTTTGAAGTAAAAATGAATGACCCCTTCTAAAATTATGTTCAAAATTATCATGTATCATAAATTCTAAGTGGTCATATTTTTTAGTGACTGTGTATAAAAGAAAAGGACAGAAAAATGACATACTAATGTACAAAATTACGAATACAAAATGGAACGAACCTCGACTCACAGACTGATGTGGTGTTGCACCAGGAAGGAAAGTCTGAAATGTAAAGCTAGAATCGTTACTTTCGGAAAAGTGTAAGTACCACTTTTGCTTCACAAACTTTAATCGCACAGGAAGTACTCGGAAAGAATATTTATATCTTCATCTTTGTTCATATCAACTTGATGCAAATTTGTATTGTTATCCCCCCTTATATCACGTTATAATTTGGCAAAAGAATGTAACTGTGCTCAGTCGGTGGTTAATGAGACGTCGTACTTTGGTCTACTAGGAAAAGAAATAACAAGTAACAAATGTTGGGTCTCTGGCGCTAAAGGAGATACAAACTCACAAGGTACACAAAAATTGATTGAACAAAAAAATAAAACAGAAGTCCTGGAGGGCAAGCAAAAGAAAAATATTTGGTACCGTCGTACAATGGAGGTTCACAGGAATGGGGACTGCTCCTCACCGTCGTGAGTCCTACTTGCAGACAGTTCCCCTCCAGATGAGGGCGAGAAAAGGGCTCCGGCAACAAAATTCACCAAGGGAGGACGATTTCTATCAAAATCTCCACAACCCGATAATCTCCAGCACTGGGTGTGAAATTATTTCACTACCGCGGGTTGTGGGCCGCCGAACTCCTACACGAGAGCACCGGAAATAGCAGCACCAGTTCCCGACGGAAATTATAAAAAACGAGCTCGACTCTTTCTTGTTTTCAGCTACCCTCTCCGAATGATCATCTCGGTATATGTTTTAGGCTGCTTATCAAGCACATGGATCACAACCACGCTCCCATGTTGAAAAAGGACCGCGAATACACGAAACTGTCGATGATTCTTGGCAAAGATGGCGAAAAGTCGTACGCCAAAGAATTAAGGCGATCCAAGAAACAGGATGACGAAGACGATGACCAAAAAAATGACATGTTCGGATATGAAGTAATTCTCTTTGAATGATAATGAAAGGAGTTTTAGTAGCCGTTTTTAAATTAATTTTCAAGCGCATTTTTTAGGAACCCCTGGGGTCTTTAGAAAGTTTGCATGCTAGCATTTAATCGATCAAGAACTTTGCCAAACGTAATCGACGTGATTACGTTGCGAGTGTAGTAGCCGATGAGTTAAGGATTGCTTGTAATATAATATTAAACATCTGAAACGTGTGTCTTATTCCTTTACGTTGTCAGTTTTTGTTTTTTTGCAAGCGTTTATTTGGCTCGACTCGTTAAGCCCGTATCGTAAGTCGTTCCTTCTAATGTAGGACGCCTTTAACGTCGTCAATATGGCGGATGCTACAATACGGCGATTTATCATTTTCATAGCCCCGGTGGTATTGGTGTGAAATGAAGGAGCTTGAAGAGGGAAACATAATAAACAAAGTGACGTCATCCTAAATCCACCACAAAATTCCGATGTATCGTTTTCATAGTAATGGTACAATAAATAAAATTAGATGACATTTACTATGAATCTTTGTGACAAATGACAAAATAAGAATGGAAAAGGTAATAAAACGTAAAGTTAAACTTATTAGTTAATCGTTAAATTTACAATTTGAAATGATTGCGGGTACATTTAACCGCGTAACATGAAAATGTTATCATTTAAAATACATCGCTTTCAGTTGTGACAGCTCATGTCAGCCTGGGTCCCCAATACAAGTTGGTGTACAACTGCTACGAATATAAACTGGAAAGGAGATTTCACAACAGACTGGCATGGAGTTGCAGGAATAAAGAAAAGTTCAAATGCAAAGCTAGATGTTATACGTATAATGACAGGAATGTTATTGATAGTCGGTTCGACGTTCACAATCATACGTATAATGTCAAGGCTAACCTGTACCAAATGACCTCCAGAGTGTACAGTTTAGTTAAGAAGACTTGGAATAATTATAAAATATATTGTAAAGATTAAGCAGTACAGTAAAGAATCCATTTTTTGTTGTTTGATTATTTAAGCCTTGGTGAGGAAATATTTATTTTGTAAAAAGTTGTGGTTGAGGTAAGTTGCAAGGATTTATTATGAGAATAACATGGTGAAAAGAACATGCAGAAAATTATGGGAAAATATTAAAAACAGGCAGCTAGGTAGAAAATAACGATCATCTCTATGAAACCTTTGTGATTTCGTTTTTGGCAAGATTACCATTGAGTGTGTAACAATAGAAATGTTTCCTCTCGTTTTTGGATGATTTATTTTTAATCCACTATACCGTCTATTAAATTGTAGTTTGTGAGTAAAATAATTTTCAAATACCGTCAAACTTACTTTACAACAAGCTGCTAACTGCTTATCGTTCAGCTCCGCTCTGTGGTTTGTTATTCGTACACAACAATCCTCTGATAAAGAAGCCAGATACGAACATGTAAAATAGAGGAATTAAACGGACCAAGTCAGCCAGACCGGTCATAGACATTCGTTCGCTACCCTACAGGTAGTAACTATACATCCGGCAACATTGTCCCTTTTCGTGGCATCGCTACATGGTCGTGTATATGTTTTTTGCGCTGCAGTACGGACAGATAAGTCTTCAAAACCGGTCCGTCGGGCGGTGAGCTTAGATATCAGGGTCGAAAACACTTCAATGTAAGGGAAATCTTAATTAAATTAAATTAAATTAAATTATCTAGTTTGACTGACCTGATACAAACTTATAAAAAAATATATGGGTTTTCGCAGATAACATCAATGGACGTGTTTAAATGAATCAAAAGTTATTTTCCACTTCATTTTCTTGCAAGGGTATTCCACATTGTCTTCACAACTAGGTCTTTGTCATTTTCACCGTTTTCTTTCTTCATATTCCACGCCCAATCTTTCATGATTAGGTTTAGCTGCTCTAAATTTATAGCTTCTAAAAGCTCGTCTCATCTTCACTACATAAGCTGCCTAGCACTGTTTAAAAACAATATTACAAAATTTATTGACAATAAAATCAGATACCATAATTGTTATCAAATTTTCGACAAAATTATGACTAGACGTTTCTCTTTTTAGTTTTTTGGCTAATTAGAGTATTATTTTTACTGTACTCATTGTACATTTATTGACGATTATTAATTAGTTAATGTTTTTTAGATAAGACAACCTGCACAAACTGCAACCGTACATTCAAATTCAAAAGCAATCTCCTGCGTCATCGAAGGTTCAACTGCGGTAGAGAACAACCGAAACAGTTTTTTTGCGATCTGTGCCCGAAGAGATACACACAGATGGACAGTTTGAAGAGGCATAAGAACAAAGCTCATTTATTTCTCGAAATAATACGATTGGACGAACATATTGAAATCGAGAGTACTGACGAATGAATAAGTTTTTGCGATTATGTTTTGGTATTAAGGTTGAATATATGTTTTTTGATATCTAGTATGCCCTTTTTTTATTATCCGGCCTTCAGTTTTCAATCGAATATAATCTTAATAAAATGTCTTTATTAGTTACATAACAATAAGGCGTAGTTTAACCTGTTGGCTACTCTTACACCCTACCCTATTGTGCGAGGAAATATGTACATACAATACAAGAAAAATATACATACGAACCTGAAAGAAAATAAATCGATTTGATGTTCAACCGATTGAAAAAACATATCTTTAAGCAAGGAGGACTCTTTATACTTTTTTATTCTCTCTAGCTTTCAATGGTATTTGCCATCATCATCAGGAGCTGCAATTACATTGATAACAGTAGCAACAATAGTCTTACTGTTATCAATGTAATTGCAGCTCCTGATGATGATGGCAAAGACCATTGAAAGCTAGAGAGAATAAAAAAAGTATAAAGAGTCATCCTTGCTTAAATTTTGTCGAAGTACCCAACAAAAGGCGGAAGCTTTAATTTTTCACCTAACTGGTCTAGACGACAATGACTACGACCATAACAGGTGGGCTGAAAATTCCGTATCGTTTCAATGAAAAAATATTTTTTTCGTCAAAATTCGCTTTTATTATTCAACATAGTTGCCTTCAAGGGCTATACAGCGATTATAACGTTCTTCAAGTTTTTCGATACCCTTCCGGTAGTAATCCTTCGGCTTGTCCTCAAAATAGGCTTCAGTTTCGGCGATGATTTCTTCGTTGCTGTGAAATTTTTTTCCGGTGAGCATTCTCTTAAGGTCTGAGAAGAGGAAATAGTCGCTTGGAGCAAGGTCCGGAGAATACGGTGGATGGGGGAGCAAATCGAAGCCCAATTCATGCAATTTCGACATCGTTTTCATGGACTTGTGGCACGGCGCATTGTCCTGGTGAAACAAGATTTTTTTTTTCTTCATTTGTGGCCGTTTCTTGGCGATTTCGGCCTTCAAACGCTCCAGTAACACTATATAATAGTCGCTGTTGATAGTTTGGCCCTTTTGATGAAAATAATTCCTTGCACGTCCCAGAAAACAGAGGCCATAACCTTGCCTGCTGACTGTTGCGTCTTTCCACGTTTCGGAGGTGGTTCGGATGCAGCCGTCCACTCGGCCGACTGGCGATTTGACTCCGGTGTGTAGTGGTGGAGCCATGTTTCATCCATGGTGACGTATCGGCGAAAAAAATCGGTTTTATTGCGCAAAATCACCTCCAAACAGGCCTCAGAGTCGTCGATGCGTTGTTGCTTTTGGTCAAATGTGAGATTGCGCGGCACCCATTTCGCACAGAGCTTTCGCATATCCAAATATTCATGAATGATGTGACTGACACGTTCTTTTGATATGTTTAAGGCCTCAGCTATGTCAATCAACCGTATTTTGCGGTCTCCCAAAATTATTTTGTGGATTTTTTTCACGTTTTCGTCCGTAACGACCTCTTTTGGGCGTCCACTGCGTGCGTCGTCTTCAGTTGACATGTGACCGGTACGAAATTTAGCAAACCACTTGCGAATGGTTGCTTCGCCCGGGGCAGAGTCCGGATAACACTCATCAAGCCATTTCTTGCATTCGACGGCACTTTTTTTCATCAAAAAATAATGTTTCATTAACACACGAAACTCTTGACTTTCCATGGTTTTCAAAAATAACAAAAGTAGCGTCACTCTCGATACGATAACTCAAAAACTAATGATCCGACAGCTGTCAAATTTTGACAGGCATCTTTTGAAGGTTGGTACTAGCTAAGAAGCGTATGGATTTTATTCTGGTGGCGCCATCTCATAGAAACGATACGGACTTTTCAGCCCACCTGTTATAACTTGAGACGTGGTCATTGTCGTCTAGACCAGTTAGGTGAAAAATTAAAGCTTCCGCCTTTTGTTGGGTACTGTAACGCTTCCTTTCCGCAAAAAGTCCAGAAAAGATGGAATGCAATGAAGATTCCAACTTTTCTGCACAATCACAGAAAGGGGGTTACAATTAGCTTCCGGTAGCTCAGTCGGTGGCATGAAGACATCTACAGGCGTGTAGCTGTGTGTCGACCATGGCATGGCTAGAGGATAGAAGAACAAACAGAACACAAAAATTTAACAGATTTTATTTAACAAAAAAAAGGCATTTTCATTACATTACAATTTTACAAAAATAACAAAATAAGTTTTACATCTTTGGCGCTGCTATAACGCTATCGACTTATCTTTCGCTGGTCCATTTTTACTCGACTGAAGCCAGGATGGCCAGGGGCTTGAAGGGGAGGTCCCAGTTATGAGGGGTGACCTCCATATAGTGGCTTCACAACCAGTTGTAGGCGAAATTAAAGGCGATGGCGCTGCCAAGGTACATGCATGGGTGAAAATATTGGCCAAGGCTAGGCAAAGTGAAAGGGAAAGAGAAAGGGGGTGGCCCCAATCATTTTTGTCCTATACGGACACACATTCTAGAAAATTCTAGCACATGGTGCTATATAACCTTGTGCTACTGAGAAGAAATTTCTAGCCGTTGTTCGATCGGCGGCTCAGGTGAAAAGGAAGCGCGAGGAAGATCGCAGATCAGGAACTCCGCATCAAGCGCTCCAAGCGGAAAATTTTCCAAGCAAAAAAACTAGAGATGGGATTAATGAAATGATAATCGAGAAGTGATTTAATAAATACGATCGGACGGTGAAACCGTTACAGTACTTCGACAAAATTTAAGCAAAGAGGACTCTTTATACTTTTTTTAATTCTCTCTAGCTTTCAATGGACTTTGCCATCATCATCAGGAGCTGCAATTACAATGATAACAGTAGCAACAAAAGTGTAAAATGAATTTAAATTGAATCAACTTACAGTAGTATGTGAGGATGTTGCTAATTGTTGTTTTCGTATAGGATGAAGGAAATGTCCAGTAACATGGTGAGAGCTGGATACATGGTACAATGATTAAAATTATATAAAATATGACAAGACAAGTTAAAGACAGATTAAAAATTATTTAGAAAATATTTGAGCATTACGTCGTGAAGCCACTTGATGATTGCACAAAATGGTGGTTATGTAATAATGAGTGAGATGAACCTTTGACAGAAGGCCGAAGGTTGTCAATGTCTGTGTATCCAGCTCTCACCAT